TATTATGTTATCTTTTCTATCATTGGCATCATTAGCATCATATTTCTATTTTAGTTGGTATTCGATTTTATGCTGTCATCGTGTGACGATTTACGGGATTTTTGGTATAACACTGTGTTTCCCTCCTTGTCATCATCACATGTAAATACAGTGTATGCCTTTATGAATGCAGGTAGTAGTAGTAGTAGTAGTAGTAGTAGTAGTAGTAGTAGTAGTGGTAGTATACCTTGTTCTCCTCTTATTCCCTCTTATAGGTGATATACACCCTCTGGGTTATCTATCCCATATAGCATCTACTACGCCATTATCAATACAAAATGCAATACATCTTAATGTCACATCATTTATAGTAATCATGAACAACCATACCTACTACTAATACTATCACTTATTGGTATTATTATCATGATTAGATATCATGTGGATGTATGGTAGAGTTTTGTAGTAATAGCACTGATGACAATGGTTGTGGTAACGATAATAATAATATGATCGAATTATACCTAGTGAATACCTCATCATTAGCAGCTGAAGTACCAATGCCTGGTATGGCTATATATGGCATTGTAAGAGTAAACACCATTGTTACTATTATTATTAATGATTGTAGGGTAAAAGAAGTCGTGATTATGTATTACGATTGTTAGCCTCTGAAGCAAGTGGTAATGGTGGTGATGATGATGGAATAGAGGATGATGATGATGATGATAATGGTAAACATAATAAACATCATCATCACTTCCTCAATTGGTCTCCTGGTCCTATGTATTCCCCTATGTCCGGTAATACTCCGGTATAATCACTACTATTATAATTATCATCAGATGCCATCTTTAATAATTGTAGTCATCCCAGAGCACTAGAATCATTCGATTCTAGTCATACCACAATGGTAAAGGAACATCATCATGGTCATCATGTCTCTGTGGAAGTACCCATCAATAACAACAACAACAAGGATATGGAGGAGGATGAGGATGAGGATGAGGATGGGGAGGATGCTAATTAGACAGAAGCCCAAGATATCACCGTCTTTCGTCGATCCAATGATATCAGCAAGTAAATGTATTAGATGTTTGATAGATGGTAATTATGTAAATGGCGATAACCATGTTGACTATTATGATGTTTATTTAACTAATGATGATAAAGACAACCGTATTAATAATAACAACAAC